CAGACGGCGCGGAGCCGCCTCGAGAGGCTCCCACCGCAAGCCACCTAGCAATGGATGGCCAGGAGGCGTGCTTCACCCTCGAGGAGTCCACAGAGGTGGATATCTCCAACATTCTTTATAGGATTAATATGTGGTGAGATTTCATATTGTTGTCTATGACCTCGTCTTTTTTCATCCTTACCAACCCTTCAAAATCCTCCATGAACCTACTCGCTTGGTCGTCGGGATGTTGCACAAATTGTTCTTCTTCTCAAAACTTCGCTTCCCTGCTCAATGTGATAGGTATCATCAGCCATCACCTGCGACGGTGCCGGGGTCCCAAGTATAGGACATGACAATTCCCTAACCTTGGTGAGAAACTCATCCACCGAGATTAGTGGTGCCTCGACACGTGCCACACTAGCATAAACACACCTTACATGAGCTTGGAACCCAACCAGAGCGCCAGACCTGTCAAACTCGTTGGCTTCCAAAGAAGTATGCGGCTCCGCCAAAAGCAACATGAGACATGGAGGGCGAAGAACGACCATGGCCAAGGAGTAGTCACCAAAGCAATGCAACAAGATGAGAGCCTTTGAGCACATTGGGTTGACTTTATCTTCCCTTCCCATCGTTGAAACATCGATTTCGAGGATCACATTAGTGCGCCCATCAACAATTTGATGACATGCTTAACCTAGAGTGACGACATCATGGATTCAACAAGCACAGGGTAGTCATGTTGCCAAATTTCATGGTGCCCCCACCGACCAACAACATCGAAATAAGAAGAATATCCCGCTCGAAAGGTGAGGATGGGGAGCGGCAACAGGCGCACCCCCTACTACTATGTGGACCGGCCCAATTAGTTTTTCTCCCATCAATTCACATTCTGCAGGGTTTTTCTAGGCTTTTTTTTCTTTCAATTTTCCTATGCTTTCACCATCATGCGTTTTTGTTATTTATTTTATTTTATTTTTCTTTTTCTTTTTATTTTCCCTTTTTGGTTTTAGTTTATATTTCCTTTCTTTGTCCATTTTTTTGTTTTTATCAAATTCATGAACTTTTTAAAAATTTGAATTTTTCTCTCTGTTTCTGCGATTTTTTTCAAATCCCCAAACTTTATTGAAATTCGTGACATTTTTCAAATTGTGAACTTTTTCAATTTCTTTTGTGAACTTTTTAAATATTTAATGATTTTTTTGTGAACTTTTTCAAATTAAGAAATTTTCCAAGACGTGAACTTTTTTTAATTAAATCATGAACTTTTGTCAAATTCGTGAATTTTGTGGTTTTTTAAAATTCATGAAATATTTTCATTTTTTCATTTGTAAGCCTTTTTGTTTTTAATTTTTTTGACGTACTATAAGAGTGCAGGGAGCCGAAAAATCGAACAAAAGAACGATAAAGCAATGGTACGGCGAACGAGCGGAAGGAACAGTATTGGGCCTCGGCAGTGTGTGCCAACTTCGGCTTATGGCTGGGCTACGGTTGGGTTGTTGATGGTCGGGCTTTTATAAGCCCGGCCCAAAACATGGCCCGCCCGACGTACGTCCAGGATTAGCGCCAAGACACTTCCTTGGGAGAGCTCCTATCTGCCGCTCTCTGCGGCAGAATGTCGACCGCGCGCATAGGCAGGTCTCCCGACTGGGCCGGCCTATGTGGCTAACGACCAGTACAGAACGAAAACTGTAGTTTGCTCGAAAAAAATCTTGCACTCCACAGGGATCGACAAAGTGCTGTTAGCCAGTCAACCTAGCAAGCTATCTTGTGTTGAAAACAATGCAAAAACTTAAGAACCAAACCGAATGTAGATCCAAACATTTTAAAAAAAATTAACGCGAAACATTATGGTGAAAAAAATGTGAATATTTTATGAAACCGCAAACACAATAAAAAAATCAAATAAAATTTGAAAAAACTCAAACATTTTTAAAAAGCAAATAATATTTGGAAACGGAACATTTATTAAACTCCTAAAACAATATTGAAAACACAAACATTTTTACAAAACTGGAACATTTTTTATATTCCAAAATAACTTTTGGATACATCAACGGTTTAAAAAAATAGGAACATTTATATCCCCTGTATAAAATTTAGAAAACATGATATTTGTTTTAAAAAAATGTGAACATTTTTGAACTCTCGAATAAAATTTGAAATACAAACATTATTTGAAATTTGCGAATATTTTTTGAAATTGGATATTTTTCGAAACTCCCAAACGAAAATTGAAATCACGAGCCTTTTTTTGATTGGATTTTTTTTGAATTGGAACAGTTTTTGAAAATCACAGAAAAAAATTGAAAACACAAACTTTTATCTAAAATTCTAGAACAAATTTTAAAAATCCTGAATAAAATTTGAAAAGTTTAGAAATTTTGAAAAAACACATAAAGAAAAGAAACAAAAATGAAAAATAGGAAGGAGAAACGGAAAAAAAGGTAAACAAGAAATAAAAAACAAAAGGAAACCAAAGAACTTGTCCACTCAGTTCAGGAACGTTCTAGAAGGTTCCAGAAAACAGTAGAAGCCAGGGTTGGAAACTTCTAGAAGGTTTCCAAAACTAGATGTGATCTACTCGTTAGCTATCTTATTAGATGGGCTGGCCCCATCGTTTTCGCTTAGTGTTTGGTGATCTGTGCGTTTGACAGTTAGACGCAAAGAGCGTCAAATAGAAAATCGCCTTTCTTCTAAAATCACTAATTGAGAAGTACCTATTTCAAAGGTCACTTTGCCCTTCCTAGGTTGCGACAAGTGGCGCACTATATGTGCGTCACTTGTGACAATATGGGAGTTTTTCATTTTTTAGTAGATCCGTTTATCTCTTAAACATTGCGTTCAAATTTCGAACCATTTTCACCATTAGATTCCTCGCGTTGAGATATTCAAAAATAAATTCTATGTTGATAGGTTTTGACTAACCGTTTCTTAAAAAAAGGGGCCAAAAAACCGTGCAAAAACGCGTTTTTCTCCTTTTTCAGAGGCACGACCGTGCCTCGTGTCTCTCGTGGAAGCAAATCTACGCCTCTTGCACAAGCAAAACCATGCCTCTCATAAAAGAAAAGTAAAATGAAAACACGTTTTTTCTCGTTTTCGAGAGGCACGGCCGTGCCTCTCGCGGAAGGAAAAAAATGCGTTTCTTTTTCGTTTTTGAGGTGCACAACCGTGCCTCTTGGAGAAGCAAATTTGTGCCTCTTGTGGAAGCAAAATTGTATCTCTCGTGAAAGTGAAAAAACACGATTTTTTTTCTTTTTTGAGAGGGATAATAGTACCTCTCATGAAAGAAAAAAACGTAACACAATTTTTTTCCGTCTCTTGTGACTCTCGCGGAAACAAATTTGTGCCTCTTGCGGAAGCAAAACCATGTTTCTCACGGAAGAAAAAAAAGGAAACGCATTTTTTCGTACAAATATTTTTTTTTCCGAAATCGAAGAAAGACTGATGAAAAACCGAAAAGCAAAAAAAAAAAAAAAACAGGACACGCGTGCTGAAAATAAAATGCGGAGAAAGCGCCGAGAGCGCGACACGTGACGGTGGCTAAGAACGCGCCAAGTGAAACGCTCTCAGCCCACCCCCAAGTGAATCTTGGGAAGGCTGCGAACAAGCACTCCTCAACTAGTTGCTCCCCCTTTCTTTGTGCAGAAGATACCTCTCTAGCTCGCTTTTTTAGGGAAGCCTCCCTAGCTCGCATGGTAGGGCAATCCGCGAGGCGAAGTATTTGAGCTAGTACCGAGCAACCCTTTTATAAATTGGCCGTTCCATGGCAGCCTTTTTATCGGTGGGTCGTGCCCCAGTTCTGTAAGGTCAAGGCATGGACTGAATGAACCGAACTTTGCTTTTCCCGCGATCCCTATTTGGTGCATAGGTCGCCCGCTAGCTACACCGTGCATACCCTCTGTGGCCGCCAGATCGAGTGTTTGGGCCGGCCCCAATATAGTGTTTTATTCCCACCAGTTTTGGCAAGATTCTAGAACCTTCCCTGAACCTGTTTTTTGTTTTGTTTTCTTGTTTTGTTTTTATTTTATTTTATTTTCTTTTTTCCTTTTCTTTTTTTGCTTTGCAAACATCTTTCAAGTTTGTGATATTTTTTGAATTTCATGAACATTTATCAAAATCATGATATTTTTCAAAATTTTTAACATTTTTTCAAATTTGCGAACATTTTATATATTATTGACCATTTTTACATTTTTGCAAACATTTTATATATTACTGACCATTTTTACATTTTTGCAAATATTTTTCTAAATTGTGAACATTTTCTGAATTCATGAACATTCTTTTTCTAAATTCGTGAATATTTTTTAGAAAATTTTAAACACTTTTAAACTCGGGAACATTTTCTGAATGAGCGAATAATTTTTGAAAATTGAGATTTTTTTAATTCACGAACATTTGTAGTATTCATGACCATTTTTTTGAATAAATGACTTTTTTATTTAAGGAACATTTATTTGATTCTTTGAACAATTATTATAAATTTATTAACATTTTTTGAATTCATGAAAAAAATTGGATACACGAACACATAAAAAAAATCATGCACATATTTTGATTTTCAGATTTTTTTCCAAAATCATGAATAGTTTTTCTGAATATGCGAACATTTTTTCAAAATCAAGAACATTTTTTAATCCAGTAAGCATTTTGTGATTTCATTAAATGTTTTTCAGAATTTACTGATATATTTGGATTTTTTAAAATCTCGAATTTTATTTTAAAGTAGTAGAAGAAACTGAAACAGAAAAAAAAAACAAAAGGAGGAAAAAGAAAAAAAAAGTGGGCGTCCAGCCCCCTCATGGGCCGGCCTAATAGGCGTGCGGGACGGGAGCGGGTGCGCGCTGGCTTGTGCGCCGGTGCGTCACGTGCTGTATAGGAGGAGCTCAAGCCCCAGGGGGGACCCCCTCCCTTTCCGTTTTGTCTGAAATCCTCTCTTCCGCCGTTCCGCGCTCCCCGAGCGACGGCGCACGCCGCCTGTTCTACCGAATACCACTCAAGAGCGGGAGGCTTCGTCCATGGCGAGCGGGGTGGATAGCATCAGCGCCCTCCCGGACGACGTCCTCCACAGCGTGCTCCGTTTACTTCCGGCCGAAGAGGTGGTGCGGACGTGCGTGCTCGCCCGGCGCTGGCGCGGCGTCTGGAGATCCGTGCCCTCCCTCCGCTTCAACGGCGCCGAGGGGTGGGGCAGTGCCGACAGATTCGCCCAGTTCGTCGACCACCTGCTCCACCTCAGATTCGGGGGCGACGGGGGCGCACGGGCGCCTCTGGATTCCTGCGAATTCGACTTCGACGCCGACGGATTCATGCAACTGCCGGCTAACGAGCGGCACGCGAGCCACTGGATCTGGCAAGCCGTGCCCCATGTCCGGGTGCTTCGGCTTCATGTCACCGAGTTCGACCAGGAACCCTCACCACTATCTGATCTGCGTCTCGTTTCCCAGCACCTCACGAGATTAGATCTTGTTGGTGTAGCTGTCAACGACAGCGTTATGGATTTTTCACGCTGTCCGGCATTGGTGGAACTGAGTATGGAGGTCTGCGATGTTTTCGCCAACCAGCTCTTGTCTCCATCCTTGAAGCATCTGCGCATTGCCCGCTACTTTACTGCCGAGGATAGTCGCATTCATATTTCTCTACCAAGTCTCGTTTCGCTCGAGTTGATTGTATGCCGCCAAGGAAGGAGCCCATCGCTCGGAAGCATGCCGCTGTTAGCAAGAGCTGTTGTTGTACTTAAGAATGATTGTGCTGATCGGTGCTTTAAGGGTCGATTTAATGATTGTGGTGATACATGTTATGGTTGTCGTTATTATTATGGAGATCCTGAGTTTGGACCTACTTATGACCGCAACGACAGCATATTTCTCAAAGGTTTGTCCGAGGCTACGGACTTGGAGCTGTCAGCTGATTCTGATGTGGTATGTTTGCAACTGCACCTCTCTTAATCCCTCAAATTATACTTTTTTAATTTATTATTTCTCATGCAGCAACACATCCGTCATAGCAAATCACAATTAGGTTACATCTGACATACTCGCTCTGTTCCATAATTCTTGTTGTGAAACGGATGGAGTACTTTTTTTTGTGAGAAAATTTCTGATCTATTCATCTTCAATCATGGCAGTACAACGAATATCAGAAATAATAGAAATTACATCCAGACACAGACTTTTGTATTTCAAAGGCCAAAAGGTTCTTAATTTGATCCGTCTCTTTTGCACTTTGCCTAGATTCTTTTTGACAGGGATTTGAAGTGGTGCCCTACATTTACCAAGTTAAAGACTTTGTTACTCAATGACTGGTGCTTGGCTGCTGGCCACAATGCATTAATCTGTTTTCTCCAGCACTCACCAATTTTAGAGAAGCTTACACTTCAACTTTCTAAGGTATAGATTTTTTAGGTCAGTAGCTATTAAAGTGACCATCCATGATTACCTGATTGATCTTCTCTTTTTTTTGGTGTTAGGGACGTTCATATGTAAGTGAAACACAAGGAATATACAAACCATTGGGACAGTCAGTTGCATCCAACTGTCTTAAGATAGTTGAAATCAAATGTGCAAATGTTGATAGTAAGGTTCACAGACTTTTGAAGATATTGACTACCTATGGCATACGCCTTGAGCAAATTAGGGTCCAACATACTAGCAGAATTTCTGGATCTGAATGTGAGTTAGATTGTTGCCACTCTTCATGCAACTTACATTTCTTCCATTTGTTAATGTGTTAATGCATTATTAACTAGGCACTGAAAAAAGCTTAAGCTAATTACAAGATTTTTTTTTTACAAATTTGGATGTATGTGGAGAAACATTCAGACTCCCCATATCTGATGAAGAGAAAGTGAGAGACAACAGTGTGCTTCATGTGTCTAACTGGCTTTATTATCCAAAAACTTAGGCTATCAATTTGGATTTTGGATTCAACTATGTTGTATGCACACATTTGTAAGTAATAGTTACACATCAAACTGTTCCAAATCTATTATGTATGGTCCCCAGTACCCTCGGTATATATCATCCATACAGGCGAATGTTATCCTCTATCAAGCCATTTCGATTGAGCTTTGTTTTCATCTTGACCCTGTACAAACTTGCATGTGACTATATTGCTCTTATAAGCTATGATTCCCCTTGTGGATGTTGCTTATTCTTTTGCCCCTTCTTTTTAGCTGACATCTCATGACAAATAATAAATCAGTGATTATGTCAAGTTTTCACTCCATACTATTGCCCTCTGTACTTGTTTGTGAATCTTGTTATGTGCTATGTTAGGCCATCTCTAGCAGATCCCCTAAACTTTAATCCCCTATCCTATCCCTACCCTAGAAAAAGCTATTTTAGGGGATTATAC